GTCTTACCTAGATAACAAGTGCCACTGAAGTGCAGATCCTAGATCTTGGGTTCCAGACAGACACCATGCCAGTCCATGTAGAGCCTTCAGAGGCAGCTGCCTTCAGGCTCGCATCCCTGGGAACAATGTAAGTCTGAGGTCAGTGCCTCGAAGTAGACATCTGTAACTTTCTGCCAAATGCATCTCTAGCCTTTAAAGTCATTTGTTGTCTCTTGCTTATTTTTGCTCACAAATCATGCAAGCCCCTTCACACACTTGGGAGGGAGAGCCACTGCTCTTTTTCACATCAAGCCTTTCCCTGTGTGTCAGCCTCTCTCCTCAGCAGGTATAGATCGAGGGGCTAAGAGAAGCCTGGCAAGGTTGACCAGATACCCCGCTCTTGCCAGGGACACCCCCCCCCAATCTTGTTAGCCATTTTCATCAGATTGAAGAAGGCCATTTCCAAAGCAGGTGTCCTGCAGTTCCCTGTGAGCTCTGGCCCTTGCTCTACCTTATGCCCTCAAACAATTAGAAATTGGTAGCTATCACAAGATTGTGAATTTCTGGCCAGTAGCTCAGGGAATCTGAACTAACCCTAAGCCCATGTTCTATTTAAGACTTTGGGATATGATTCTTTATCAAATATGCAGCATTAATAAAACTGCTCTGCACTGTTTGATCAACTGCTAGATGCTTGGAAAGGCTAATAAGAGTGTGGCCCCTGGCTTGGCCTACCACAGTTTGCTAGCTTTGTAACAATGTGAGACTCTTGGCTCTTAGTATCAGATACTCTTTGATCCTGAGCTCTCCCTCCCACCTTCTCTCCCAAAGCAGGATACTGGGACACTTTCCAGAGGGGCCATCCTTACATGATGCCCAGAACTGTCTGTAACTCACTATTTGTAACCTGGGGATAGTTTCCCTTTCCCCAGGACACAGAAAAGCCAAGGGTCACATGGCCAGGAAACAACTCCACAGAAGTGACACACCACTTTCTCAGAAGCCTAGCCCTCTCTTCCACAGGAGTCCTTTGTTGGCTAGAGGTCCTGCTTCCCCCTGGGCACTGCAAGTGCCACTGTGTGGGGCCTGGTTCTGCACATCCAGGAGAAGTCTGCAGATACCCAGCCCTCAGCAGTCATTCAGCAGACCTGAAGCCGCTGACATACAGAGAACACTTAAGAAAAAAATGTATTTTATGTGAAAAAAGTTAAAACTCTGTATACTGTATCAGCAGCTTTGTGTAAAAATGGCAATCAAGAGTCTAATATATTTAAAACTTTTTTAAAAAAATTCTCATGGATCTTTGATATTGTATTGAAGTAACTTCCAGGTGGATCCATACCTCCAAGATGGATCTGACCATATCCCCAAGGGGCGTACGTCCCTGGAGTTGCTTCCTGCTGCCAAGGCCTGTGACGGAATTTGCTGTTAAGAATTTTTAATTAAGATTATTAAATTCCTTTTAATAACACCTGTTGCTGTGACTGTGCTTATTGCTCTGGGCTCACCTGAATTGGGCTGACTTGAGTTCTCAAAGCCATAGTGCTAGGGAGGCTCCTGGACCTTGCCCCTATCACAGAGAGCTCTCCCAGGAGGTCCCCAAGACAAGGAACTCTGGGGGCTCACAGAATGGAGCGGGACGGTTTCTAGATTGGGAGATGGTGAAAAATGATGAATTCTGTGCATGTATGCAAGGGCACCTATGTCATGCAATGCCTAAGGAGGACAGAAGAGGGCACTGGACCCCCTGAAACTGGAGTTATGGATGGCTGTTAGCCACCATGTGGGTACTAGGATTCAAACTCAAGTCGTCTGTAAGAACAGCCAGTGCTATTAACCGCTGAGCCATTTCTCCAGCCCCGATTCCCAACATTTTCAAAAACTGCCTGGTGACATTTTATGTAACCCGGGTGCCTCCTCTTCCCCGCCTCTGTTCTCAAGTGTGCTGACTTGTCCCATTCCTTCTCCTTGCTCCTCTCTGGTCTTTCTCATCTAGCTGATGATGGAGAAGAATAATGCTCCACCTTATTCACAAAATGATAGGTAAAGCCCTGGTTAATATCACACAATAAAGGCAAAGACAAGTGGTGTGATTGCACAGCCTCAGGTCATGGCTTTTGTCCTATTACATGCAAGAGTTGGTGTCTTCAAAGAGGACAGGAAGGTTGTTCTCTTGGGCCTCTGGACACTGGATGCCAAAGCCAAGACACATGAAAGGGCCCACACTTGGGCTTGAATAACTTCCCTGGGTAGGTTGGGAATGGGGGAGCATGGAGAGAGGGCACAGCAGTCACTCGTCCATTTTAAGTTTACTATCTAGTTACTTGGGAGGCGGAGGCAAGGAATCAGAAGGTCAAGATCATCCTCAGCTACATGGTGAGTTTGAGGCCAGTCTAGGCTACATGAGACCCTGTCTAAAAACAAACAAATTTCTCACATTTATGAAATGCTTTAGAATGGTACATAGGTTTTTCTCATTCGCACAAAGATGATGTCTGCAAATTAACTGTGGGATTTGGCATAGTGAAGCTCATGGGGACCCTAACCAGAGGTAACTATAGAGATTTTGGTACAACAGTGGGGGCATTAGCCTGATGAGAGAGGTCGGGAAAAAACTGAAGGAAAACTGAGGTTCTAGGCTGCAAAAGTGAGCACAGACATGGGGAACAGAGGAATCTTAAAACCAAAAATGGTTTTAAGATGAACAATATTAGGGATTGGGGAAATGGCTTGGTGGTTAGGAGAGTGTACTTGGGTTCTTGCAGAGAACCCAAGTTGGGTTCTCACACCCATGATGCACAGCTCACCACCACTGTATCTCCAGCTCCAGGGGATCTGATGCACCTGCCTCCAAGGGCACCAACACTTGTGTGTGTGCATACCCCTCCATGGACACATGCATATACACATAATTAAAAACAAACTTTTAAAAAGATAAGCAATATTGAGGAGGGCAAAGTGTCCTCCTCTATAATTCTAGTTCTTGGTGCTGAGGCAGGAAGATCAAGAGTTCAAAACTTGCCCAGGTAGCAAGATGCTGTCTCAAAGCAAGCAATAGGGCTAGAGAGGTGGCTCAGTAATTAAGAGCATGTGTTGCTCTTTCAGAAGACTCTGTTCAGTATCCAGTACCCATATGGCTCTCACAACCATCTATAACTCCAGTGCTAGGGCTCCAACGCCCTCTTCTGGCCTCCACAGGCACTGCACACACATGTGTACAAGAATGCAGGCAAAACATATATATAAAATAAAAATAAATCTTTAAAAAGCAAGCAGTATTTTAGCAGGAAAATTGATGAGGCAGGAGAAAGGGAAGAATTGCTGGGGAATACAGGACTCTGATAAGACGGACTGGAAACTACTGCCAAGGCAGAAAGGTTGGTGTTGGACAGGCTCCAGCACAGCTCACCCATGGAAACAGAAGGTGGGCATGGTGGGCATTCGTGGATGTCCTTTTTATAACTTTCTATTTTCTCCGTGAGATAAGAAGCAAGCTCTCTGAGAGAAAGGACACAAGAAAAGATAGAGTGAGGGAGAGAAAGGTAGGTTGGCAGACATTTTTTAAAATGTAGTTAGCATATGAAATAATGGATTTGGCATATTTTCTTTTATGTATTTCTTATTTTTTATTTTTATTTTATGTGTATGTTATATATTGCTTGCATATAGGTCAGTGCAGCGATGTTGTGCAATGCCCACGGAGGACAGAAGAGGCTGTCGGATCCCCTGGAACTGGAGTTACAGACAGTTGTTAGCTGCCATGTGGGTGCTGGGATCCAAACCTGGGTCTTCTGCAAGAACAGTGTTCGTAACTGCTGAGCCATCTCTCCAGCCCCTCTTTTATGTTTTAAAAAAAATATTTGATTATTTTTATGTGCACAAGTATATTGCCTGCATGTGTGTAAGTTCACTAGTGTTGTGCAATGCCCTCAAAGGTGAGAAGAGGTTGCCAAATCCTCTGGAACTGGAGTTATGAACCGTTGTTAGCCCCCATGTGAATGCTGGGAACCGAACCCGAGTCCTCTGCAAGAGCAGCCAGTGCTCTTAACCACTGAGCCATTTCTGCAGACCCTTAGCATGACATTTTCATACATAGATAGTGCAGCTTGGTCATACTAGCAGGCAATCTTAAGGATACACTTCATGTTCTGAATTTGAAATACAACCAGTCAATGAGCATGGTCACATTTTTTTTTTTTTCCTCCAGCTCGGTATGGTTGCCTGGGTGCAGGTGGAAAGTGAGGTTTAAGCAGGACTGAGTTGTTGCTAGGCAAAAGAATTATGAAGTGAGAGAAACAAAGTAAACACTGAAGGTTACCACAAGGGAACGGTATATAAGCATATAGGCACATCGTGCGCGCATGTGTACCAAGGTCTTCCTATGTAGCTCAGACTGGATTTGAATTCCCCACCCAACCCAGGCTGACCTTGAACTCCAGATCCTCTTGCCCCAACCTTCCAAGTGCTAGGATTACACCATTATACCTAGTGCTGGCTTTGCACCAGTTTTGTTTGTTTGAATGCCAACATTGTTGTCCATACCCCAGCTTTGAGATTGGAGGAAAAGCACGGTCCATGTGCCCAGAAGCAGGTGCCAGCCTCTCTTGCCTAGGCCTGAGTCCAGGGCTTGGAGCGCCGCGCTGTGGGCGCGGCCGGCAGGAGGCGCCCTGGGATGGCCCGGGTCGGGTAGGAGCGTCCCAAGCAGCATCTTCAGCCGACAGCTCCGAGCTCAGTTTCCAACTGGATCAGCGCTAGAGCCGCTAGGGCGGGGCGAGCACAGAGTAGCCAGATTTAAATACCGCTCAGCAATCCCACAGTGAGAGCCTGGGCTGGGCTGTGCGGGCAGCCAATAAGATGCAAGGGGTGGGCCTCGAGGGGGCAGCCAATAACCACCAGGGGCGGGGCCTAGGGAGCGCGTGTCCCGCCTCCCCTGCTGTCAGCCACTAGGAGATCCGGGGCGGGGCAGTGGGCCAATAGCGCGGGCCCGTTTGATTCAAAGGTCCCTATAAAGTCCGCGGCACGCTGGCGCGCCTGCTTCTGAAGAGACGGAGCGCCGCCATGGCCTTGCCCCTTGAGCTCCTGGATGAGCTGCCCGCCGCCTGCCTGTCGCCTTGCGGGCCGCCCAACCCGGCCGAACTGTTCAGCGAGGCGAGGCGCCTGGCGCTGGAGCAGCTGCTAGCGGGCGGCCCCGAGGCCTGGGCGGCCTTCCTGCGGCGCGAGCGCCTGGGCCGCTTCCTCAACGCCGACGAGGTGCGCGCGGTCTTGGGCGCCGCAGAGCGCCCGGGTGAGGACGGCGCGGGGGCGGCCGAGGACTCGTTCAGCTCCTCGCACGACTGCTCGTCCGGCACCTACTTCCCCGACCAGTCGGACCTGGAGCCGCCGCCGCTGGAGCTCGGCTGGCCGGCCTTCTACCGCGGTGCTTACCGCGGCGCCACGCGCGTCGAGGCGCACTTCCAGCCCCGCGGCGTGGGCGCCGGCGGCCCATACGGATGCAAGGATGCGCTGCGCCAGCAGTTGCGCTCGGCGCGAGAGGTGAGCGGCTTTGCAGGCCTGGCTGGGGCCGGAGTCCGTACACCTCCCTATCAGGTCCTCCTGATTTCGGGGTGCGCCTCTACTCCGGGTCCGTCTCCCCCCCAGGGTCCCCCCTGAGGCACTTCCTTTGCGCGCTTCCCAGGGTCCCGGGGGTCCTCCATTCATAACGCCTTTAGGTTTCAACAGAACCCTGGATGCCCCTTGTCAGCTCTTTATGACAAAAGAAAATGGGAAGACCTTCGATCCTCGGAGATGGTAGGCTCTTATTCCTAAAATATTCTTGGGGGAGGGACCAAAAGTACTCTCAGTTCCAACTGTCAGTTGAGACCAAAATTTCCAGACCTATACAATTTTAAATCCCTCCCTTAGGAGCTTCTTAGGACACCAGTTATCAAAGAGTCGGGTTATCCAAAAGATGATCCCCAGAGCCGGCTTAAAGGCATTGGGAATAAAGAGTACTGATGATTACTTATGTCTTAGGTCTTATGTTGTAGACAGCTGATAAATGTCTTTTTCTGTTGCCCCTTCTGTTAATGAGTAGGGTGGGGGTTTGCTTTTCCATTGACTGGGTCTGTTCCTGGTAGTACTGACCCCAAATGCAAATACTTTTGCATTAGATAAGCCTCTTCACAATGGGGTTTTTTTCTTAGCTAGTGTCTGACTGCATTTGTTGCCCTGTACGGTGGTGCTGGGGTGGGGTCCTGCCTGAGTGAAACCACAGCTTGGGAGCCTGGGAACTCTCCAAAGGCCATGGTCAACTGGCTTGCTGGTGGGCACTGCACCACTAAGTGATCTTTTGGCTATGCCAGGAACATGGCAGGCAATGCCCCCGGCCATGGTGAGACTTGGTAGGCCTGGTACCATAGTACCACAGGGTGAAGATATCTGTTCATCAAATCAGGTTGAAACAGCCAAGTCCAGAAGCAAGCCTGTATTCTGCTTTTTGAGACAATTTCTCTAGGCCAGGCTCACCTCAAACTCACTATGTAGCCCAGGCTGGCCTCAATTCCAGGCCATCTGCTGTCTCAGCTTCCCTGGTGCTGAAGTCTGTGTTCTGGTTGTTCTTTACCTGACTGGCAGGGCTGCAGTGCTAGAGCAGAGGAGACATAGCACCCTGCTTCTGGGGGAGTGGTGTGGCTGTGGCATGGCTAGTGTCATGCTGTAGACATTTTACTTGTGGATTCACTGTGAAGCTTAAAGAGGCAGAATTGTGGGGCAAGTGTGTATGCACAAAGCTCTCTGGAAGGAGACCTTGAGCACTTGGGACTTTTGAAAAAGGAAAGAACAGGGCTCCATGGAGTACAGCAATGTGAATTGTTCCAACTTTTGCCCAGATTGATCAAAGGGGTACTGGAGCTAGAGGTCAGAAGGAACTCTAAATTCGTAGGCTGGCCTTAGGAGGGATCCAGGCTGCAGCTGAGACTCCACTCTCTTGTAGGCGATTTGTATACACTCCTACAGCCTCTTGTTTTTGCCCTACCTAGTTCCCAGACACCCTCTTCTTTCCCAGATTGTGTGTTTGGAACCTGACTGTGCTGCCAGAAAGGTGGTATGTTACTTTAAATGTAATGAGCATTTTTAGTGTATATGCCAAATTGCTTGCTTACTCAGAGCCTCCTGTGTGTCACACTGCCAGGGCTGGGGCCACACAGGAAAAAGGTGTGATTCTTACCCGTTCTTGAGAGCCAGCAGTTTGTGAGCTCCGTGGGGTGAAGCGGGTGGGGATGGCTACAGGCAGTGAAGGAGGGGCTAGAAGAAAATCCCAGGAATGGTGGTGACCTAGCCTGGGTCCTAAGGTAGGGTGGACTTGCCTGGTACAGAGTGGAAAAGAACATGGCAGCCGGGTTCTTTACCACTGGGAGGAGCAGAAGGGGTGGTTGGAGTGGAGAGCTTTGCTTTGCATCACAAAAGAAGCAAGGTAGGTCACTGAAGGTTTGGAAGGAGGTATGACCAGATTGGTGTTCTGAGCACTAATTCTGTCTTGAAGGAGCATGGATTTAAGAGGGCTGCAAGGAGGAGCAGGACAGAGTTTTAGGGAGAGTTAGTTGATTGAGTTTGGGATTATGGACTGGAATGCTTCGGGGAGGGGGCAGTGAAGAGGACTGAAGGCTGGGAGTGTGGTCAGGTGTAGAGTGCGTGCCTTAGTGTGCTTGAGGTCCTGGGTTCCATCCATAGCAACATACACACACACACACACACACACACACACACAAATAAGTGTGGCAGGTTGAGATTTTTGTTAGCCTGGGTGGGCAGTGATGCTCCTAAACTGGAATACAAGAAGGAAAGGTGCAGAAGGGGCTGTGGATATGGCTTAGATTTAATTTGAAACATGCTGAATTTGAAGTTCAGAGATCATCTCTTGCTTTAAAAAAATTTCAATAAAAATTGCTTTCTCTTTGCCAGACAATATTCCCAGTACTCGAACTGTAGTTTCAGTTGCTATGCCCATTTTACAGATGAACTGAAGCATGGAGAAGCTAGGTCATTCCTAGGGTGCTATGGAACTAGGACTCAGCTCAAGGTAGACTCCCTGGATCCCCATTAACCACTGTGTTCTGCATGTGCTCTGTGGAGGTGTTCACCTGCCCTTAGGTGGGCAGAGGCCTGTGGGAATAGAGGGCTGTCAAATACTGCCACCTGTAGAGCCACATATTGGGTATCTGAGGTTGGCCATGAAACCCATTAGCTGTGACGGGAGGATTATGAAGGTGCATGTGTCAAGTGTTTTCACACTGATGGCAGACATTGTATAATTAAGCCTCTGCCTGGGTCAGTCTGGGTGCTGAACCCTTTACCTAGGTTACCTCGGCCCTCCCAGTAGCAGGAGGAGGCTGGACTTAAGGTATAGAACCCACATTCTTAACCTCTACTTTTCACAGCCTCCCATCAGTCTAAAGGTTTTAAACAGTTTCTTAAAGATTTGGACTTTGAATTTCCATGTTCCATGTCTTATAAACAGAAAAGTGATGATGCAACAAAAGCTTAGAAGATTGGGTGTTGGGGCTGATGAGATGACTCAACAGGAATAGGCACCTGACAATGTGGGTTTCATCCCCAGGACCCACATGATGGAGGGAGAGAACTGTCTCCCATAGGTTGTCCTCTGACCTCCACATGTGAGCCATGACACATGTGGGTGCACACGTATATGTACATAAATAAATAAATGTAATTAAATTTTTTTAAGAGGACCGAAGTGGTCCATTTTATGAGGAGAGGGGACATTTAACATAGCAGAGACCTCCTCAGCTCATCAAGTGGGGAAGATGGTTCATGACCTCAAGGACAATGTAGGTCTCTGGGGTTTAGATTTTATAATTTACCATGCATTTTGCCTTCCTTAGGGAAGGTAGAGCCAAGCAGATATATCTGGAACCTGAAAGAGGGGAGTATGGAAATCTTTTGGTGGGTGAATGAAAGAACTTTGAGTTCCAGTGCAGGGTCCTGTGTTGAGACCAGAGGTCCAGGCTGCACTAGAGTGGGGTCAGATCTAGCTATGTGTTATTTGCAGCTTCATTTGCCCTCAATGAGGCAATCTGAGCACCAGCCTGTGTTCTCTGTAGTGGCTCCAGAGGAGCCTAGGTACCAGGCTCTGTGACCGGGGAATGGCATAGGAAGCCAGGGCCATTTGCTGATTGTCAGGATTAGGTCCTTCTGAATGGGTGGTTCTGAGAGATTTTTTTTTTTCTAGTAGCTTTCTAACAATAGGGCATGTGACAGTAGGTGCTCAGTAAATGCCATGGAGACCTGTCATGTCCCTTTGTTCATTCAGCCTCAAGCATTTGTGGAGAGATGCAGAGGGGAGAGATAGGAAGGAAAACTAAATTTGGGTGATTCAATCTGCCAGTCAGTGATCAGCTGTGTTGTGACCTTGCCTCAAAGTGCACTCTAGTGTCACAGGTCAAGCGCCTCACTGCGCTTGTCCAGCTAGTCCAGGGTGCTGCTTGCTCTTCTTTTTTTAAATCTCTCTCTCTTATTTATTTATTTATTTATTTGTACATACATACATACATACATACATACATACATACATACATACATGGTTTCAGTGTGTAGCCCAGGCTGGCCTTGAACTTAGGATCTTCTGCCTTAGCCTCCCAGATAAGCACACTATTGTGCTGAGCTATCCCTGGCTTTTGGATAGGAGTTCATAGGCCAAGTTCATCCTACTAGAAGGTTCCATGCCTCTCATAGTTGTTGTTCTTACCAGCTGCCATTCCTAATGTGCTTTTGCTCTGAAGAGACCGCTTTTGCTGTACCACACCTCCGAACATCCTTTTGATGACCCGAGCATTAGTGGTGGCGATCTTTGCATCTGGAAGAGTCCAGACAGGAGGAATAGCAGCTGAGGAATCTGTTGGAGGCCCCTGGCACGTATGAGGATTTTCTTAAGGACTGAGCGCAGGCGCTCCTGATCTTGCTCAACCCTCCTCTGTGTTACAATAGAACCTGCGGATCATAGGGATCAGTTCCTGTTCTAGATGCCTGTATCAGCCTGACAGCGTTTCTCAACCTTGCCACTGTGCATTTGGGGTGGATGATTCCTTGTCCTGAGGGGACTCGTGATACACTGAGCACCCCTGTCCCCACTCAATTGATACTTCTAGCATCTTTCCCCTCCTAGTAGTCGTGACCTTTAAAACTCGTCTGCAGAGAGTTACTACTTAATAGAGGTTCTGCTCTGCTGATGAAGGTTTGGAAACAGTGTCAATGGTTGAATATCATGGTGAATGTACTGAATGGTTTCACTAAGCAGTAACTCCATAACCCCTCTCTTCTGGCCCCTGGCAACCATCTTTCTACTTTGTCTGCCATTTCATTCCTCTACTTTTCCCTAAGCAGGAAGGAAGCTGCAGGATTATTCTCTGACTCATTTGTGGATGTAGGATCAGTTCTCTCAGGCAAAGCAAAACCGTACAAACAGAATGTAGTGCGTATACTGGCTTTTAAAAAAATCTTGATGCACTGGGCATAGTGGTACATGCCTACTGTCCTAG